TCTCGAACCCACGGGCTCAGGCAATCCACTCACCTCGGCCTCCCAAAGTGCTGGGATTACAGGCTGAGCCACCGAGCCCAGCCCCAGTTTCTATACATTAACAATGAATTATCTGAAAAACAAATTAGCAAAATAATTCCATTTACAATAGCACCAAAAAGAAAATACTCAAAAGTTAACCAAGGAGATGAAATACTTGTGTATAAATACTATAAAACATTGGCGAAAGAAATTTTAAAAGACATTCAATGTTCTTGAATTGTAAGACTTAATATTGTTTTAATTAATTAATTAATATTAAGATTTTAATATTGTTAAAATATCCATGCTATTCAAAGTGATTAGATGCAATCCCTGATTGGATTAGATGCAATCCCTGTCAAAATCCCAATGGCACTGTTTACACAAATAGAAACAAAATCTAAAATTGACGTGGAACCCCAAAAGACCATGAACAGCCAAAGCAATCTGGAGAAAAAAGAACAAAGCTGGAGGTTTCACATATCTGATTACAAAATATATTGCAAAACTACAGTAAGGAAACCGTATGGAACAGACATAAAGACACATATAGAATAACAGAACAGAACAGAATAGTGTAGAAATAAATCTACACATAAAGAGTCAACTTATTTTCACCAAGAAAGTCAAGGATACACAATGGGGAAAAGACAGTCTCTTCAACAAATAGTGCTGAGAAAACTGGATATCCACTGGCAAAAGAATTACACTGGACTCTTATTTATACACACACACAAAATCAACTCAAAATGGGTTAAAGACTGAGATGTAAGACCTGAAACTATACAACTCCTAGAAGAAAACAGGGCAACAACTCAGTGACATTGGTCTGGGCAAGAACTTTTTGGGTATGACCCCAAAAGCACAGGCAGCAAAAGCAAAACTAGACAAATGGATTACATCAAAGTAAAAACTTCTGCGCAGCAAAGGAAACAATCATCGGAGTGAAAAGGCAATCTACAGAATGGGAGAAAGTCTTTGCAAACCATATATGTGATGAGGTGTTAATATCCAAAATGCATAAGGAACTCATATAACTCCACAGTAAAGAAACCAAATAATCCAATTTAATAATGGCTATGGATTTGAACAGTCATTCCTCCAAAGAAGACATACAAATGGTCAATAAGCACATGAAAAGGTGCTCAGCATCACTAATCATTAAGAAAATGCAAATCAGAATCACATCTGTCAAGATGGCTATTATATTTTTAAAAAATACTGTTGGTGAGGCTATAGAGACACTGGAATCTTTGCACACTGCAGGCGAGAATGCAAAATAATGTAACAGCTATGGAAAACATCAAAATGTTATGGAGGCTCATCAAAAAATAAAAAAATAGAGTCACGAGCCGGGCTCGGTGGCTCAGCCTATAATCCCGCGCCTTTGGGAGGCTGAGGTGAGTGGATTGCCTGAGCCCACGGGTTCGAGACCCGCCTGGGCAGCGAGACCTCGTCTCTACAATAAATCAAAAAATCAGCCGGGCGTGGTAGC